TTTTAAAAAAAGGCATGAATAGCCTGGGGGGGGGGGCTTGCAGAGTACTCCTGGGGGGTGGCCCCCCCCCAAAATGAGCAAAAAACAGCCCTTTCTTGTGAAAATGGGCCCGTTTTTTTGTCAAAAAAATTGCATGCATAGCCTTATGGAGGCTTATAGAGTGCTGCTGGGGGCTGGGGGGATAAAAAACAGCCTGTTTTTTGCTCATTTCTGCCCTCCCCAACCCCCAGGAGCTCTCTGAAAGCCTCCATAAGGGTATGCATGGCCATTTTGATGAAGATGGTGGGGCTTCAGGAGGCAAAAAATGCTGTATTCAGTGTATAAGACACACCCAGATTTTCAGCTTCTTTTTTGAGGAAAAAAGTGCGTCTTATACTCCGAAAAATACGGTAGCTCACAGTTCTTATGCAATTTTATTTATTTATCCTGCCTTTATTGCTTTTACAAATATCTCAAAGTTGCAAAAATATCCAATATACCTTCCTCTTCGTATTTTACCCACAACAACCCAGTGAGGTGGGTTGAGCTGAGAAAAAAAATGACTGGCCCAAAGTCAACCAAGCTTGTTTTCATGACTAAAAGATTCATAGTCTCCTGCTTTTTAGCTTGTTGCCTTACCATTAAACTTGCTTTTTATCACAAATTTTATCAAAAAATGGAAAAAGTAGGCTTGCTTTTTAATATTAGGTAAAGCCAGGGGTGTCAATCTCGATTTCATTGAGGGCCACATCAGGGTTGTGTTTGACCTTGAGGAGCCGGGGTGAGCGTGGCCAGCTCAACGTCACTCCTGTCAGCACCTGTGGCGGCCTGAGCCCTCTGCCAGCAAAAATGGGCTCCCGAGCTCCATTTTTGGCTGCCATGGCCTCCGCAACTCTCTGCCAGTGAAAACGAAGCTCAGGAGATCCGCTTTTGCTGGCAGAAGCACTGTGGGCCGGTTCTTCACTGTTTCCAGGGCAGCCTCGCGGGCCAGATCTAAGTACCCCGGGACCGGATCTGACCCCTGGGTCTTGAGTTTGACACTCTGAGCTAGACTCAATGATTTTGATGAGTCAGGATAACATGGTTTCTGAATTTTGATCTTGTCCTCACTTTTTCAACTAATTGCTCAGAGCTAAAGTAGCCAATATTAAATGTTTTCCATGGTCACTACTTTTCATTAACACTTTTTAGGTACTGATAGTTTTCTGTTCCACATCACTTCTTTATAGGGAAATGGCACTTGGGACATCATGGCCCTTTCCATCCCAGCTTTCGTGGTAAGATTTCTATACTTATTTCCTCCTACTAAAATGCCATGGTTGCTCTAGTTGGAATTGTAATTTCATAAAAGTGAATGCTTTGGTGTACATACCTTCCACATAGATAACTAGGATATTCTGGATAGAGAGCAGAATTTGCAGGAATGTAGCTTTTCCTTAACCTGCTAGTTTTTGTATGGAGGAGAATAAACTTGTTTTTATACAAGGAAGTATTTTAATCTTATGGCCCATGACCACAATAAAGGAAACACACAGATACATAGATATGTAGATTTACAATTCTGTAAACTCCAAACAAGCTCTTAATTTTCATCAGCATTGATATTTCATCTAAAATTCTTCTTTGACAGCAGATATATTAGCTGTGATTTGCCTAAAAAATCATTTATGAAATAAATCTTAGTTGGCTAGGTTCATACAGCAGGCTTAACCATAAATCCAGTCTGCACTGGATAACCTTTTGTAGGTTTGAGTCTGTAGTATTTTTAGTGACAATGCAAAAATAAATGGAGACATCTTATACATGTGATTTTTTTATTATTCGGGAATAGTAGTTTTTTCTTCCTTTTTTAAAATTGTATTAAATTTATTTCAGGACTTACAATACAGGGTTTTTTTGTATTTCCTTCCTTACATTAGCAAAAAATTGCCACCAGTGGCAATTTAAGTTAGGACTGAAGTGGGGGCAGTTATGTATTGGACTCTGCTTGGAACTGTAGGCTACAAGTTGCTCGACTGTTGTCTACAAGCAACTGTTGGCTGGCAACACACAATGTACTAAGCCAAAATGAAATAGTGGTTAATATTACTTAATTCAATGTGTTAAATGGTTTATTTTTTTCTCAATTTAGTAGCTTTTTAAAAATTTCACATTTTGTAAACTATTGGGAGGGGGAAAAGATCATAGAGACAGGTAATCTGTATACTACTAAAATTATCCTTCTGCTTTTCTGCTTGTAACCTTCATTTAACCCTAATGGCAAGCATTTTTTAACCAAGTTACCTCAACCCTGCTATGTTAAAAAATCAGTACAAAATCCATGACCCATTTAGTCCTTTGTAATTGAAAATTGAAAAAAAAATCATGCCAGTTGTATTTGCAAAGCTGTGGACACAACAGTAATGCCACAGTTAGCAGAGGTCACAAGATTGTGATTTCCAACACTCCCTGTCAGCTTTTCACGAGCAAAATCAATGGGGAAACCAGCAGGAAGTCAGAGGTTGCTCTGGTTCCCACTGCTTTATTGCCTGTGGACTTTCTGTTTCTCTGTTTAGGTAAAGAAATATCTCTGAAATATTGACCCAGTGGTCATGGGTTGTTTAGTTTAGCAGTTCTCTCTCACTAGATTAAACCTCTAGTGCCGGTGATCAACCTAAATTGGATTCTGCAACATTATCCCGGGTCTGCAACATTATCCCGGGTCATTGCATATTTGTCCAGTACAGTTGTAACAATCCAATAATGACCCAATGGCTCATAGGTTGTCTAGTGCATATTAATAACAGAACCATGGTGACACAGTGGTTAGAATGCAGAATTGCAGGCTAATTCTGTCAATTGTCAGCAGTTCAATTCTCACCAGCTCAAAGTTCACTCAGCCTTCCATCCTTCCTAGGTTGGTAAAATGAGGCCCCAGATTATTTTGGGTAATATTCTGACTCTATAAACTGCTTAGAGAGAGCTGTAAAGCACCATGAAGCAGTATAGAAGTCTATTGCTAATACAGTGTTCTTTCTGGCAGTAATGATAATGCTGCTTAAGACTTAAATAATTCTAAGAGAACCATAAGATCACAATCAGTGCTTGAATGTTGACATGTATCCTGCTAAGTCCTTGCAGTTGGGTAGCCACAGATGTGTATTCCATTTCAGACAACTATCTTTTGTTGAGATAAGACAGACATATCTTCATTTTGTGGTTTTTTTTGTTTCTAGGTTTTGATTTTTATTTTGGTATACCATATAGCCCTGATATGGGCTGTACTGACACTCCAGGTTATAACCTCCCTCCCTGCCCGGCTTGTCCCAGATGCTCCACAACAGTCAAGTATGTTTATTTACTATTTATGAATTTATATCCCAGCATAATCTAGTAACTCTTGGCAGCTCACAGAGTATCATAAACATATTAAAACATTCATAGTATGTTTTGAAATTTCAATTTGAGCACTGAGCCAGAAAATTCAAAAATCTATGCACAATGAAGATCAACCCAAATTAAAAATAAAAATAATAAATGGCACTGTATGTAACATAATTGGAACACCTTTCAAAATATCTCTGTATTTAACATCTTTCTGAAAACACTCAAGGTGTGGACTGGCCTGACTTCCATTGGTGCTATTTCAAAGAATCAGGGCCTTCTAACTATGTTTTCCCTCATTCTGTGGAAATGTGGGATTACACAAAGTTCTCCCCTAAACCACCTAAAGATAGTCCTCTTTAGCATTCATAATTGGGACTAGTAACTCTGTTGTTAAGCAAAGCACTTCCTAAGTGGGAAATCATTTTTATTTATCACATTTATTGGCTGTTCACCGTACCACAAGGTAACCCTGGACAGCCAATAAGCTCATGTGACTGCTTTCCTTTCCCCACTTCCTTTCCCTTTAAATGATCAACACAGTGTTACAATAATTAGAAGAAGGAAAGGGAAGGAGGGAATCAAACAAGTGATCTCTTCTGTGCCTGACCCCTTTCCCACCCTATTGTGTGCCTATTTACTCTCTTATAATCACCTTTTCTCCAATCTCTCTGCTCTGCAAAGAGGGATAAAAGAAAAAAAGTGTAATAGGGATGCTGTGAAGGTTATAAATGATGGCGATGGTTTTAAAGTTATTTTTCAACACCATTGTAACTTTGAATAGTTGATGAACAGGGCAATTGGTAGGCGAGGTCTACCAGTAGTAGATTGGGATCATTTAGGTTGGAAGAGGTAGTCCTGCAACTTCCAAGTACCAAGCTATGTTAAGCCTAATTATCCTTTCAGAGCAGTTTGTGGTAGTTTGAAACATCACTTGTGTTCCAACCTATCTTTTTCAGTTTGGATAGCAGCTGTCTCATTGATCTGACAAGTAATTTAATATGCCCAGAGAACAAATGTAACCTTGGCTCTCTTTTTTAGCTGATTTTGTTGTGCAAAGGCTTTGGAATTACCAAAATAAATAATAGTTTTAGAGCCCACTTTTGTATTAATCTCTAATTCCATACTCAAGATCTTACGATTTTTTTTTCAGTAACCATCAGAAAAACTGCTATCCTGAAATTGCACTTCCTCTTTTTGAAAACCTTACAATTGTCCAACAGCCTGTAAACTTAACTACCTTAGCGGCGAGGTTTACAGAAAAAGTTATTCATTTCATCCATTATGCCAGGTAAGAAAATCTCCATCAACATTGACCTTACTTCGGTAAAATAGTAATGGGTTGGCATTGTATAAATTAGCCTGCAGTCTAACGTTATACATCTGTCCTTCTCTCTCATGAAGCTCCAAGGAAAAGATTGGAATTTTCCACTTCCATTGCAAAATCCTAGCTAAACAATCCTAAATTGGAATTTCCATTGCTAAATGAAGCAGTCATTAGGCGAAACTACTCTACTTAGCAATGGCAACTCCAGTAGTCCCAGTCCAACTGCTGTTGGGCTGGGATCCAAGTGCTGGCAGGCTGCAGTGCTCAGATGTGTGTGGTAAATGCAGCAAGGGAGGAGCCACATTAGCCAAAGGGAGTTTGCTGGGCCCAACTAGGAAATTAATTTGTTAATTTCAAGGTAATTAAGTAATTGAGTAGGATGGGGTTGTTGAGAGCAAGGGCAAGAGATGGTGGCTCTCTGGATGATGGTGGCAGCTGTTCATAGTGGATGCAGACGAGGCGGAAGTGGCAGGACAAGGGCTTCCCAGAGGCCCACGCTCCGCAGCTTGCATTGGAAAGGGATGATAATCAAAATAATACCTTCCAAGCACAATGAGAAGGGGGAAATGGTGGAAGAAAGCCAGTTTTATTGTGGTTCCTAATGCCATAGTCTTGCTAACTGCATTTTCCAGCAAGCAAAAACAATCTAGACCTTTTAAATAATTACTGTAAACAAGTAATGATAAAGTTTGCTCCAACTCAACCAAAACAAAATGAACTGACTGGGATGGAAATCATTTGTGTATATATTTATATTTAGAGACGATTGATAAATAGGGATAACAAAAGCAACTTTTACAGTACTAAAAATAATTGATTTGAAACCATTTCCTAAAAAAAGGACTTTTTATATAAATAATTATAAACAGAATAACATGCCAAAATATGTCATACTATTACAATTCAGTCAGTACAAACAATCTAATTTTATGAAGGGAAGGACTGAAAACCCAGGACTTCTAAGAAATGCTTGGAGCTTTACAGTCTTTATGGATGGGTGTCTTCAGAACTGCAACATGTTTATTCAATCTTATTAAATCATATGAGTCTTCTTATAATATTTTAGATCCATTGCATTGCTGGTTAACTTGAGAATCTTAGTTACATAGAGAATTCTAAGTGATTCTGTTATTTAGCAAACTATTAACAAATAGCTTTGTTTTAATTACATTTGACTGTTTTGATTGTTCAGATTCATTGAATTTTATGCTACAGTACTTGATATATTAATATTGTCTCTATCTGCAATAAATATGGATTCATAATATCGTAGACTTCCAAGTGCAGGAATCCATTCAATTTTTGATTGAAAACTTTTAGTTAAGGGAAATGTTAGGCTGATCCTAGTGTCCAAATATGTTTTCCTTAACACAAACCTTTTTATTCTGCACTCTAAAACAACTGAGAAAAGGCTAGGTTCTTCTGGGTTACAATCTAGGTTTTTTGCCTCAAGTAAAAAGCTCCTTCAGTCTCTCTTCATGAGACTTAATTTTTACTCTTCAGATTATTCCCCTTGTACCTATTCTAGTTTCTCTGAATATTTTAAGGTGAGCTACAGGGGTGGGTTCTGGCTGGTGTTACTGGCGGTTCGCTCGTGCCTGAGCAGTTCAATGGAAATTGTTCTGTGCATGCGCAGAACTCAAAAACAAGATGGCGGCGACTGGAGAACCGGTTCGGTTCTGTGACCCAGGCCAACATACCACTACTGGGTGGCCGAACCAGTAGGAACCCACCACATGTGATGCCCAGAACTAGATACAGTATTTGAAATGGTTCTGAACTTTGCAAATTATTATGCAACTATTACTTGTGAATTACTTGGAAAGTGGCATTTGCCTTGGCAACTTCGCCATATTACTGATTCATATTTAGATAGTAATATTCCAGATCCTTTTCATGTGTACTGATTTCTTTTTCTTAATTAAATTTATTTATTTCAAGTAAGCTTACACCTGCTGTTTCCAATTCACTTCTTTAACCTGTCAAGATCCTTTTGATTATTATTCTATTTTCTCTTCCATCTTGATAACATTCCACACACCCAATCATTCGGATCATTAATAAAAAATACTAAATTGCTGAGGACTGAATACTGTTGCATCACATTCAGTACCTTAGTCTAGTAGCTCATGAGTTTTCCTGAGCAGTTTTCAAGCCAGCTATGCACCACTAACAGACATACCATCTGTCCCATATTTAATTAGCTTGTTAATCAGAATGTTTTTTAGTGTTCTGTCAATGGCTTAATGAAATTAATGCACATTACAGGTATTTGTCAATTTACCACCGTAATGGAGCCTTCCCATCACGGTTATAAGTTGTAGCAATCGTAAAATATGACTGACCCAGTTTATGGCCTTTTTTGTGGCAGTGATTAATTGAACAAATGGTTCACCATGGACGCAGTTTTGCTGAAAATCAGAAGTAAATGCTGTTTTTTGGCAAAATCATCATAAAACTTCACATGACTGTGGGAGGTGGCGTATGGCCATAAATGCAACCTGGTTGTCAGCCCCCTGAAGTTTGCTCATGTGACTGGGTGGAGTGCCATCAGGATTTCCAATCCAGGTCATAAGTAGCCCCCTGATAGGTCCACTGTAACCTCAAATAGTAACTAAGCCCACCAGTCATAAGTTGAGGTCTACTTATACTTCCATAGCAATTCTAGTCAGCAAGTTCCTCAATCAAAAAACAAAATAAGGTTAGTCTGACTAAATTTGTTTCGGATGCTATAATTTTGGAGTTGTTCAGATGTTTACAACCTGATTTTATTTTAATTTGCTCAAATAACTTCCCACACATGGATGCACTTGATTGATGTGTAGTTACCAAGCTCTTCTTTTATTCTTTTGGGCCAGACTTCAGTGATTTTCTTCGGTGCCCTAGGAGCAATCCATCTGTTGCTTCCAAGGTCAGTAAGTATTCCCTGAGCATGTTTCTAATAAGCTAAGGTTGGTGTCCTCTTCTTTCATCCTTACATTCACACTTGCCTGGGAAAAGGCATTTCTTCTTCTCTTTTTAAAATAATTTTATCCAACCATAAAATACACGTAAAAATGGAAAATAGCGGGGAAAAGAGTAGAGAAAAGTTAAGGTAAGAAGAAAAAAGAAAAGCATTGACTCCTGACTTTTTGAAGTACTTTTTTAGTGTTTTTGGCCAGCAGAGTGCTGCAGGAGGCCGTGGAGGCTAAAAACTGGGGGGGGGGGGGGGGGAGCCACGCCGTTTTGGCCAGCAGAGGCACTGCAGGCCAGTCCTTTGATATTTCCAGGCCAGCCCTACAGGCCAGATCTAAGCATCCTATGGGCTGGATTTGGCCCTTGGGCCTTGAGTTTGACACCCTTGTCTTAAAGCAATATTAGAAGACACAATCCAGTCTAGTGGCAGGATTTTCCCTGATCCCACTAAGAAGATTGGATAATATTATCAGGTAGGGCTTAGAAAGAGAGGGCCCCATTCCTAAAGTCTACTCCTAGAGTGAAACCCCCACCTTCTTCAATGTTTTTTATTTTGTTTGATTTTCCTACTTAAATTGAGAACAGGGACAATCTTTTTATAAGGCGTAGTTCTGATGTACTGAAGTCTTTAGCAATTGTTTGTTTTGTTAAAAATAGTGTAAAAAAAAAAGGCCTCTTCTGGTTCGAGAGAGTAATATGGCTCGTATTGTATTAATGGCATTGATCATTCCTACCTACTAAAAAAAATACTGACGTACTTTGGCATTAAACTTGCCTTGTTAATAATAAGCAGAATTCAAGTTTCAGTCTTATCAGAGGTGGTAACGGAGAGTTAGTGTAGAAGGCTATTTTATTCTAACTTCAGTAGAACTGAAGTTCCAGTGGTTTGTTTAGTACAGAACTTTGATTTGATTCCAAAAAATGTGCTTCAGAGTATATGGAAATGCAAATCAGCGTATATCTGCAACTTTAAAGCAGCTAAATATTTCCTCAGGATTACTGTCAGGAGTTTCATGGAGGTGTGCTATATTTATGCTGACGTCCTGCTTGGTTATATGCAAACATCTGCACAGCCCATTAAAAAAATATCAGTCAACAGAACTCTGCTAGAATTGGATTATGTATCCAAGACATTTTCACATAACAGCTTCAAAAACCTGGAAAGCTGCCAAAGAACCTTTAAAAGTTTCTGGCTGATTTTGCCATTATTATTTTAGTTTTGTATTTCGGCACAATTTGTACTTATACACATTTGTACTCAAGGCACTGCACACTTTACTGGGGCTAATGAAAAAGATTTCCTTTTTAATGAATCTCAGGGGTTATCTTTAATTGGGTATTAGGACTGGATCGAACCAGTTAATCTCTTATGCAAGCAGTTGAAACTAATCCAGGAAAAAATTCATTTGAGTGAACAAGTTGATACCTTAAAACAACTTTATACGCTTACATTTATTTTCATTTTTCTTGATCCTTTTTGTTCTTAGCTTTGAACAAATTGTGAGTTTTTGAGGTCTATGTAGGAGGTTTCTTTTATTATTACTATCATCTTGGAATGTTCCTGGTAGTAGAGGAGAAGTTGCCACAGATAAAAGAGAAAAGATTTCCAAATTGGAGTAATTGATAAAACCTCCCACTTCATATATCATTGAGTGTCCCCACACCAATATCTTTTTCAGCTGCAATTACAAGTGGCAACCAAATACCTAAATAACAGTAAAACAAATCTTACTATAATGTCTTCTTTCTATTTAGAAGAATCACTGTTTTCTTTTTGTATGTGGTAATCAGCTAAGGCAAATGTATTGCTCTCTCGTTCCAATATTCCTAGGAAGTTCTCTTAAAAACAGTGACTGTTTTTAAGTATGGAAAGCTTTAATTCATTCACTTTTATGCAATTATTGTAATTTATGTGCATATTTAGTTTCATTGGGATTTTCTTTTTTTTCTTTGGTTGCTTTCTGTTTTGGTATATGTTGTGCAAATGTTGTATATGGGTACACACACTC